TTTATTTATTTCATACATATTATGTAGTTATTGTGATTCTTATATAATCATAAATGATTATTAAATAACAAAATTAGTTAGCTCCCTAAATATTTTATTAAAGGGGAACTGCTGGAAGGTAGGGGGCACTATATCTTTTTCTTGAACTATACAGGGGAATGAAAGAATCTCCGGACATAGTAGTGTGAACGAGGCAGTATTAATAGCAATCGAGAAAGTGATTGGAATATGAATGAGAGCGTTACTGTGATGGCTGTGGAACGCATGAAGGTAGGAAGAACGAAGAATAAAAGTGTAGCGAGGATACAGAGAGTGATTGAAGAAAGGAATGCGAGGGAAGCGCGGACATGTTTGATCTGGAAGCGCGGTCTTGAGAGCAGCAATTTCGGCAACAAGAAAGCTCGTGAAGAGGCTACGGAAGGCATGGGTAAGTTCAATGTCACATGGGACACAGTGAGAATGGGTAGTAAGAACGAAGAGAGACAGAGAATCAAAGAACGAATCAGGGCAGAGTGACAGAGGAAATGGGACATGGGAGAGACTGTGCGGCTCTTCTACATACTCTGTAGAAGAGTCAAGCATGAATCACTTTATCTGTCACGCAAGGCCACCCAGCTGTTTACGGGGTTTCCATGTTTCTGCAGCTATGTTGAGCCTGAAACGGCAGAGCATGTGATAGAAAGATACATGGATGGAAATAGGACTGGATGGCGTGAATGGAAGAAATATAAGGAGCGGGAAAATGGAGAGATAGCACTGAGAGAAGAGAACGGACGAAATAGCGAATGAATAAGGTTTGTTACCGAATGGGCGGGGTTTGTTATCGAATGGGCAGAGAATGTGGTGAGGGATGAACGAGAAGAGTGAAGGGACAATGATTTCCCTAATCATAGTGGATATAGAGACTGTAGTGGCATCTGTTTGTTAACATATGTAAATAGTTATAGAGTTAATTGTTAGAATTTATTTTTGTTTATATTGATGGCATAATGTATTAGAGTCAGGTTGGAGGCTATTTATTGTAATTTTGGGAGATAAAATAAATAAAAGGGGCTTCTGTTCCCGCTGGTTCGCCCTCTCGTGTGGTCTACGTTACGCGTCGGCGGCACGTTGAGGGGGGTAAGTTCGGAGGAGTAGGGGTTCCCTTGACAGTGGTGGCGATAGATAGAAAAAAGATGCTCGATTGTAAGCTCTCAGTCAGGGCAATAGAGGGCGATGGCACTTTTCATGTCCAAAAGGAAAGGAAAGCGGCTAGCATGGGAAGTTAGGTAAAATTTGTTGCATTTTTTAGAGATTATCAGAATGATGTATTAGAAACTGAAAAACGTCTCATTCGGTAATTTCATCCCACTTTTTTCTGACGTGATTCAAACAGATATTTCCACTTTCCGAGCTGTAGAAGATGGCGTTTACAGTTTTTCAAAGCAACGTTTCGTCTTCGAGAAACCATGATTGATTCTGATTTATTATTTGCCCGGAAAATCATCCTCATCGGTTGTTGACCCTGCAAAATATTTCTGCCAAATATGTTTTTGGGATGACTATCACCACTTCTCACATTTTTGACTCAAATGGGCGGTGTCATGTAAACATGTTAGATATTTGTCCCTTTCATATTTCAAAATTTCAATTTTATCACTTTCACCTCTCCCTTTATAATCAGATGTATAGACACTAGATTCAAGAACGTCTCAAAATATTCAGATTGAAACAGCAAAACAATTGTATGCCAGTTCAAAGTTCACTAAGCAGCAAATAGAAATATTTTCCAAGACGTAATTACGCCTTCCACTACTCCAGCTGAGTCGATACGAAATAATTAAGTGGACATATATCGGATAACCGAGGTGGTAATTTCAAAGATCTCTTTAATCAATCATTTGATAAATGTTTTCTCTATACAGATACATGCTGAGTCGAGCCTAATTTTGTTTGGAATGGAGTTGAATAATGATTTTCGATGGGAATAGTTTCGAACATACAAATTCTATTTACAAATAACGAACCGAAAATTTGATTTATATACGGTTCTCATCAACATTTTCAATCAGTCATATGCTATTTATTGAAGATGATCTCAAGTGTTTTCTTTAATGCAAAGATGGAAAATTTGTTTGAAATGACATTCAATAGCAGTTACTACATATTTGAATGAACATGTTGTTTATCGATATTTCATCGATTAACATCATATTTTGGTAGTATCGGAAAAAAGTTTTCAATATTGCAATATTTAGTTGCTTATAAAAATTGTAATATTATTTGCTACAATCTCATTTGATGTCAACATAATTTGTTCTGAAGTTACAGTTTTCCATTATTATAACAAATAAGAAAATAAGGAACATAAATACCCACCAAGTTAATAGATACAACTTTCTCATAGTTGGGGACTTCTTCGATTCCAGCATTGTTGACCACAATATCAAGGTTTTTGAATCCCTTTATCATTTTATCGAATGCATCTGAAATGATTCACTTGATGTAAATTGAGTGTAGTTAGGTCCTTCAACATTTGATTTTTATTACAAGTATCAGCCATTACACTCAGTACATAGTCCGTAGTGATATCGCAGAGGACAGTTTGTAAATGAAATAACTTTAAGAGTGACCTCCAACAATACCAGAGTTGAGTCAGTTGAACTCATTCACTTACAGTCATGTTCAAACACAAAATTACTGAAACATCAATCAATAGTGCTTATATTAAAGCCAGTAGTATTAGGTAACTCTTTGCAACTGAAATATTGTTTCAAATACATTGTTTCATATTGTTCAATATTTGTGAACCTGTATACTCACTTCTAACATCTTCCTCTTTTGAGACATCTCCCTTGATGAAAATAACTTTATCACCATATTCTTTTTCCAAACTCGAGACAACTTTCTTGCCAGTTTCTTCGGAAATATCTACCTCTCCTACACCCTAGAAAAACAGGTTATCCAGTTTATTGATTATTTATCATCGTTTATCTAAAAATATTGAAAATTATAATAATATCGTTTGAAGTAATATGTTCTGTGTACCGCAAATTGTTTAAAAGTATTGTTATTTTCTGATTCGTGAATTCTGCAGTACATTTTAAACAACTTTTTTTTAACAAAATGGGTTTACCTTCATTCTAAATGAAAAAAATTACTCATTAGCACATAGACTGAGTTGAACCATTGTCTAAGGATATCCTTAGACCTATTTCGAAATGAGTGAGTTTGTAGAACACCTTTCTTCTTGACGTATCAAAGAAATATGAATAGTCTGCAGGATTGTCTATAGGGAGGAAGACAGGTTTGAACGAGACAAAATCAACAAGTAACACCCAGTTCCATGACAACCCGTGGGTTGGGCTACCTATCGGGTGCGTCCTCAGGTGGCGGATAGGGGAACGACCAGAGGACTGAGGCCCTGTCCGGGAAGCCAATGTGGCTTTACGGACGGGGTTGCCGGACTCATAGTCAGTGGCAGACATAAGTCGAGTGAGGGGAAGTAATACTTCCCAAAAGCCTTTGCAAAACATGCCACCGTGGACCAACGTACCCAAGCCAAGGTGTAAGGAATCGTGCCGACAGCTGAATGGCCGCAGGTGATATGGCGGTAACGAATGATCCCCTTGAGGAACTGGCGAAACATCATTGCAATCAGCCTACCACTGGTAATGCGGGGCTCTGCTAGAGGCGACCAACTCTTCCCTTGCTACTCGTGGGAACACACATGAATGAAACAAAAACCAATCCCGAGGCTGGACAGAAGTGCTCACCTCAATCTAAGGCGGTGGCTGGGGATGAACAGAAATGTCCACTCCAATCTACCGTTTGGAATGAGGCTGAACATAGCAGGTCACCTCGTGATGTGATACAAAGGCCAAGGCGTAAGCGCATTTGCGGCGCCGAGGCCAAAAGGAGAAAGAGAGCGGAGGAGGCAAGAGTGGCAGCCACTATAGGTGCACCACCCTCCTCCCCCACTCCACCTCCAACAGCAAGGGCACTTCCTGCGGCAGGCGCCAAGAGCTCCGCTTTGAATGAAAGCAAGGAACCGGCTGCCCCTGCAGGAAAACTTCCTCACTTGTGAACCTCCACGGAGGGAACCCTAATGAGGTTGACGATAACGCGCAACCACATTAATGTCGCTGCAACTTCCAAAACCTTCGCGGAGGCCACCGTGAGACACCACATGGTTGTCAAAGAGAGTGTGTGTTCGGCGAGTCTTGGTCTACACCTGCCAATATAAAGGAGATGTCTCCTAGTGACCTGTCCACCTTCCTGGAAAGGACGGGAAGTACGATGACTAGGAGGACAACTCCCTGGGAGGATGTACAATGGGTCACATGTAGCCTAAGGGATGTGGGTCTACACTCACCCTCTAAAGATACTCTACAGATACAGAGATCACCATGATAAACCCAAACTTAATGGCATTGTGTCAAAGCAAACAAAATTTGGAATGTAATCCACCGTTTTTCAATGTTAGTTAAAAATGGACTGGTACTCAATCTATCGTAGAGAGTGTATTTTACATACTCTCTCATTATAATCCCAGCTTGTTCTGTTACTATAACTCTCTGGTAAGGAAGACAGTTGGTAGAAGAGCTTAATTTTTTCCTAATTTCCTCTAGATGATTTTTATATTTTGAGAGGGGTAGAGTAGGATCATGTATTGCAAATACCTTGTGAGCTATCCAACCTTCTTGTGTTTCAGCTTTTGCCACTTTAAGAAACTTTGTGGCCCCCAAACTTGCATCGAACTTTACATAGGAAAGATCCATAAGGTATCTATCAACAGGAAAAATCTGGGATGGGGCAATGCCCACAAGCTGATTTCCCATTTTTGCAATAATAATTTTCATTATTCAGAAATATCCCTTCCATACTAGGTAATCCCAACGTATTTATTCCACATTTTGCCCATTTGCCATTTCGTTTGTAAATCATTCATCATTTCGCTAAAATCAGTCATAAAACCTTTTGATGATAATATGGGTGAAAAAGAAATATTGTATACAGTATGTTCAAATAGAGCGTGTTTCACGGTATACATAGTTAACAACATAGCACATAAACGAAATATTACAATTCTGCGTCTGTTCCTTTATCAAAGCAAACCTAATCCCATTGAATTAGCTTGGACTCAAGTAAAGGATTTCGTTGCAAGGAGAAACAATACAATGAAATATGTCATTTTGATTGTGGTGCTTCCACAATCATACCTAATATCTTTTCAAATGAGCATACCTATTCACTATCATGTAGATATTTCAAATCGGAATATTACAACAATAGACGTTAATTGTGTGAAAATAAATAAATATTGTTATCAGGTTTAGTAAGTTTTTCTCATGAAATACCTAAACGCACGCCACTGCAGGTAGGAAACAACCTGAATTCTCAGCTGTTTGCGCTACATGAATATGGTTGACATATCACTAGAGAGATATGTCACAAGACAATTTGGTGGAGTTACGGTGAAGTTAAAACTCCACCATAAAATTTATTACCTTAGCGCCTTGCTGCAGAAATTTTTTGACGATAGCTAAACCAATTCCACTGGCACCACCAGTAACAATTGCCACTTTTCCTTGTTCAAAACTCATGATAAAAATGAAAGAAGAGAATTGAATGTGGATTGTCTCTTTTCTGGGAAATTATCTTTCGGAAGATACATTGTTATCAAATAATGTGATTAGGTTATCAATATACATTCAGCAGTGCATAACACATATTTATTTTCCAGTGGCGTGCTTGAATCAGAAACAACTCCATTTTTTGATGATCGAAACGAAAATGTCGTTATTCCAGTATATGCTTATTTCACAATATCATTATTGGCTCCATTAGGATTTCTGCTAAATTATGGCGAACTGAAATTTGAACAGAAGAATTTGCGTTACAGTAAACACAGACCAGTTGAAGGGTTCTGGAAAGTAATGAAAATTTGACCAGCAAATGTTATTCAGATTCTTTTCCAGAAACTGTTATCTGTAAGTTATCCAGTATAGGCTGGGTAAATCCAGATAGTAGTGATTTCCTTCAATTGATTCATCATCTCATCGAATGAAAAGTCTGCCAGTTTTTCAATTAATTCTAAAAATTGTAATTGACGAAGGTTTTACCGGTGAGAAAGTTATCGACGTGCTTAAAAATATGATAGTCGATTGGCGAGAGCTATGGGGAGTATTCGTTTAATTTTAGGACAGTGATTTGTGAAACATGCGGGCGTTGTTGAGGACCAGGGTCGGTCCTCCTCTGTTGATCAGTGGTGGCTGCTGCTGACGCAATTCTCAGTACATTTTGTCGATTTCCTCTCAATAGGAGTCTCCTGTTATGATTTAGCTCGATGCCAGAAAGTTATAAATCACACCAGCCGCTGACCACCATACAGTAACCATGGTCTTTGTTGGGTTTAGTTGAATTTTTCCTACACTATATAATTTATATCACCATGAAAAAATGAGTCTTCGAGTTGAATGAAAGTCAAAGTTATATTCTCCCAAACAGTAACGATTTTCCATCGAAACATAACATTTAGCGACCGTGACAGGACACATCAACAAAGTTACTTCTTTGTAAAGAGTTTATTTTGAAATAGATTACTTTCTTCGTTTCTTTGGAAGATTCTCATATTTTTTGTTTGAATGGATAAGTAGAAAGCCAAAGCGTTTTTTCCAAAAATTACTCACTCCTGCAAATATTCGTCTTTCAATTTGAATAATGTCAATTTGTCTTTTATTTTTGTATGATGTTTGTTTGAATGAAAGTTTTTTATCACTCTATAAATAAAATATGAGTGAGGAGTAGCAAAAACAAGATATCTCATCCACTGAACATACTACAAGATTCCATTAAAAATTGTGGTTTTGAATGTTTGGTACACCATCAATTTACTTCAAAGAGTACTTATCACCTTTCAAATTGCAAAGTGTTACTTATTTTTTCATGATCGCTTATGTTGGTATAAACTCACCTTTAATTTCCTGAAAATGTCTTTTCCCGAAAATTACGAACTGTCATTTCAGTTTAACATACATTCGTATGAGAAACTGAATGATCGTGGTACAAGAACTCTTTCGTTGGTACTGTTGGCCGTGTTACGAAATCAAACTTCAAAATAATGCGATGAGGTCAAATTCATATGGCAATTGAAAATCAGAAAGAATTTTACCTTTCTTTGTCATTCGTCACTTTCCAAAATTGAATCGATGTTGCATTTGGCATTGAATTTATTACCATATAATCAGAAATACAGTTATTGATGGAACCCTTGTCTAGAAAAAGTGCAAATAGTGTAACTTGAATTTTGAAAACATATTATTTATGTCAAATTTATTGAGAGTGTACTGTTTTTTCGAGTTTTAGTTGAACTAGTTGTAGCGTGCTTCGACTAGTTCAAGCTACATGCACCGTCTAAAAGTAAACACAACTAAATTCACTCCCGGTCGGCGTCTTTGATGTTTTGGGTTGAGATTTTACTTTTTGCTGGCATGTGGCGGGGCAGGAGGGTGCAGGCTGAGAGCTATCGTGCAACTCTGCACGAGGTTCGATCAAAAAATATGTGACAATGATCTGACTTCATCATTGCTACAAGTAGCTCACAATAAATATTCCATATGATTCTGAACTGTTTAGGAATTGATGAAAAATAAGACAAGGTGGTGAAATAAACGTATATTTTGCAAAGTAAGACTATAAAATTTAGGTCAAAAACTTATGCTAATCTATTCGAAAGATTTTTCAGAATGACGAGTTTTTGATTTTTTTTAACATTTGTTTTCAAATTTCTATTGTCAAATTTCAAAGTATAATACATTCTTACCCTTGTGAAAAGAGAAAATAAATAATCCAAAGGAAAATTATCACAATCAGTGGCACATAAATTGTTGAAAAAATATAAACTTCAGTATAAAATACAGATTTTTTAGTTTTGGGTTGCCTAGTTTGCTAATTATGAAGTGTGTCAATCGAATGAAATTCGATTTTTGCCATTGATGACAGAATGTAAGAATAGACATATTTGCTATTTATAGTTGATTATTTGGTACATATAAATGGAAAGTAGGTTCCAAAAAGGGTGTTTTGAATATACAGTTGATACTTTGGTTTTGCAGAGATTTCAGTGGAAGTAAATTCTTTTCCCTAAAGATACATACCAGCCAAATCAAAAATTTGATGTAGTTCAGCCATTATTTTCCTTTTCTTTCCTTTCCTTTATGGATTTCCAGTGGAACTCCCATTGTTTTGTCATTTTATATTATTACTTGTGAGGCATATACTATTCGTTAAGTTCAATTTCATCAAATTAATTTCATAAAATATTTTTGAATAATAATGACTCCAATATCATGGTATATAACAATTTATTTTATGATTTTCGTTATATGTTCATTCCTTCAATCTTACATAATAAATACTAGAAAAACATACCTTTTTTCGTCAGTTGGAAATCGAAAAAGATTATTGCAGACATCACCCTGCAAACTACAGCAACCCACAGCTCGAAACTCATTCATTTTGAAACTAGACACAAATTTCTCATAAATACAAGACCACCACTTACAACGACTCACTCTGTAATAGTATTCCATGCCTCAATTTGGCTCGCTTAGTAGACGCCTCAGATTCAGTCGGTTGCGCTGCAGGTTGGCCGCGTATAAAATTTGAGGTGGGGAATCCTGACCCAAATATGGCGGAGAGTGAACTTACTTGTGTTTACTTCTATACGGTGCTACAGGTTATATTTTGTTTCAGTATCAAATCAATACCTTATAAATTTCCAATATGAAATAGGTACGATTTTCTAAATGGAGTTTTCGAAATTTGACAATCAATTTTCATTTCTTGTGTCTGATTTTTCGTAACAAACGAATGATTAATAACACAAATTCCAGTAAAGCGGCGATACCATTTGGAAAAAGAGGTTATTTTGGTAAATGAATGAATAAAGATAAACAGTTTTGTTTTAATTGCCAAGTTGGGGCGTCAGTGATCAGTCAGCGATCAGTGGACAAATTCTACTTCAATCCAAAAGAAATTTTTTTCAAACACTAGCGTGAGATTGAACAACGGAATTTTACCAGCCAGAAACCAAATTATTTGAATTTTCAGGAATAAGACATTTCAGATTAAATCATTGCAGATCTCTTTTAGAATTTCTTTCGCATGTGTTTCACTATTGAATAATTATTTTTATTTTATATGATACGATTTTCGATAGAAACAATGAAAAAAATATGTGTGACAGAAATTGCTCGTTTTTCAGATAGAAGAAAAACATACATTGATGCACAATTTTGGTCACAAAATATTGTTAAAATTTTGGAAAAGTACCAATGTCCAATCATAATATGATAATAATCAGTAGAGTGTTTGAAAAACAAAACCATACAAAAAATGCGATGAAAACATTTTCAATCAAAACTATATGAAATGAAAAATTGTAACATTTATTTGAAAAAAACAAATTTTTTGACTTATACAAAACCTATGAGAACCTAATAATCAATTGAATGATTACATTGAAGTAACAATACACATTCATATAAATATTTTATGTACGTAGGTCTGATTTGTATCGTTATAAATATTCTTCGAATTTTTTTTTTGAAGTTATACTTATTTTGGCGCGTTAGGGAAAAATGATGAGAGTCGCGAAAAACAGATACCCTGAAGTTAGCTTATCTTTATCATCTCAGCTTCGTTTATGAAGTTTTGCGCATCTCTTCCCGATGAAGAAAAGTTACTTCGTATGGAGGCTCGTCATTTTCAGCAACCCAAACTGAACCATTATTTCCTTTCTTCATTATATCCTGTAAGGCATCAGCACTTAACGTTCTATATATGAATGCGTTATAAGCAGCCAGTTTTTGTGATGATGGATGGTTTGATCTTGCGGGTATGGTGGAGCTTGTTTGTGTAGGTTTCCGGTATATTGCCATTTGAAATTGTGTTTTGGAAACATATTAAACATATTATCCATAGTGTAATTAATTTTCATGAAGTAACGGGTCATAGTTTTCGTGAAATATCGCAAATTGGAATAGTAGAGCATACGCAATAAATTCCTTGTGTGTGTAAACGCAAAACAGGGTGGTTTGCCATATTTTCCATGAGAAATCAGAGGGTTACTATTTATATTTCGTGAATAGCAAATAATTAGTAATAGTAAATCGTTGACCCCGCAGGTTACCTTTGATATTTTGGAACAAGAAGAAGTCATTGGGTACCAAATCAGGACTGTACGGAGGATAAGTCATTAATTCGATGTTTTGACTGCTCAAAAATTCACCTATTTGACGAGATGTGTGAGAGGTCGCATTGTTATAATGGGTTATGTTTCGTCTTCGACAATTAGTTCTACGAATTTCTCCGAAAACTTCCGCCATACAAATGGTCGTGTATCACTCAGAATTGACCGTTCTACGTTACTCAAGCGGAACAGTGTGCCACATGCCCCATTCGGCTGAAGAAATAGGCGACCAATTGGTCCGCTGTGCTCCTTTCACGAAAAACTTTTGTTGGATTTAGCTAGTCTTAGAATACCCACACGGTCGATTGCTGCTTTGTTTCCGGCTAATACATATATATCCATGATTCCATCACCTCTCACGATTTTATACACGTCTATTGAAGCACCACAGCCGAATTTTTCAATAATTTTCCCCCACCACTTGACGCGAGCCTTTTTTCGAGTGATTGATAAATTATAAGGTATCCAACGAGATCAATTTTTTTACAACTGCGCCTTCATGCAAAATTGAATGTATTGAAGTGGAACTGATGTGCAAGGATGTTTCTATCTCTCAATATGCCACATGGCGATCTTGCATCGATGTTTTGTGGCACATCAACCCATTTTCGACGAACTTCACGGAATTCGTCGGCGACCGAACTACGACCACGATTGAATTTACTATACCAGCGATATACTGTAGTATTTTATGGTGCTTTATCGTCATACAAAGAACTGAGTTTATCGACATATTCTTGTTGAGATAATCCACGTTAAAAATTGTGTAAAATAACTCACTGTAAACAAAATAAATAGCACTTGTTCTCTCTCTCTCTCTCTCTCGACTATTGACTTTTGCTTCCATTTAGGTGCATTTTTACTTCTGTGAGCACAGAAGTCTTACTGTATGCAATACAACACTCCTAAGATTGTGCCAAAGAATGTCAAACTTTATTATGGTGTTGCCACATTTTACCTATTGATATTAGTGTTGCCAGTTCCCGAAACATAAATAGTCCAACATCGTACAAAACGTATAGTTAACTCTGAAAAATTGATGAAATGCTTACGAAGACATTTTCCTGCTAATTCCAGAAAGTTTTTGTTGGAGTACGCTAGGTTTGCTCATCACATCTGCTATTAAAGGAGTCAGTATCAGTCCTGGACAAATAGTTATCACTCTTATTTTGTTTTTGAGGCACGATTCATCCTCACCAAAAGCCTTACCTGAAACAATTCCCTGACATTATTTTTTTCGTATATTTACTTGACAAAACGTACCTAGACCTACAACTCCATGTTTGGTTGCAGAATAAGTCGGTCCCTGTGTCATTGAGTTGAGTCCAAGAACAGATGCGGTGTTTAAAACTAATGCTTCGTCCGATGATTTGTACTTGGGGAGATATTCTCTAACAGCAATGTAAGTCCCGTGCATAACACCAAGCTTTGAAAAAATTGGTATCCTATAAGTTTAGAATGAAATAAATATGAACAGAGATTGGAGTGTGATTAACCGAGCGTTCTTTTAACAATTCATGGACTGAACTATCATCAGAAGATCAACCATTTTTGAGATTGGGATTGGCCTTGAATTATTTTGAGCTGATACTAGCTCTTTTGGAGTGGTGCACCAGTTTTTTCACTTGTATGTTCCTATATATATTTTTTTGCAGCACTCTTCATGTATCAGGTTATTTCAAAAGTTTTGTCCGCTTCAATGTCATGTGTTGTTGTAGCTCCATATCTTAATGAATATTCATTCTACTGTGTTGTGTTATATATAATAATAATGAAAAATGCTTTCATTGAAAAGTTACTCAGTTCAAGAGATTCTAACCTAACCTAACAAATGGCAGAATTCAACATCTGCACATGATGAAATATTGAAGAGAAGAAAGGAAGAAAAGCAGCGAAGAGAGGCGAAAAATATTGATTGATAGAAAATTTTATACTCTATGCATTGATGCTGTTCATTTTTTCACAAATTTTAATTTTCTGCCTCTTTTCAGTGCATTAGTATGTGATGTCGTTGAGCAATTTTTTCTATACAAATTCAAATTGAACCAAAGCGCTGCCAAAATAGCCCAAAAAATTAATCAGGCTTTTGGCAATGATAGTGTTAGGAACACACTGGTCGATGTTGGTTTGCGTAATTTCGTTCTGGAGATTTTAGCCTCGAAAATCAAAATGAAATCGACCTACAGTAATTCAGGACGCGTTTTTGTAAATCCTGGTGGAGACTGACCCATCACAAACCATGCGTAGGATGGCAGAAGAACTGCGCGTCAGATCCCAAACGGTTTTTGATGGTTTAAAAAGTATTGGTTGGGTCAAAAAGCTCGAGAAGTGGGAGCCACACGATTTGAGCGATCGACAGAAAGTATCACGTTTCGAGATCTGTTCTCCTTTGCGTTTGCATAACCAAAACGATCCGTTTTTGAATCGGATCGTCAAGTACGATGGAAAGTGAATCCTCTACAAGATAAGAGGAGACGTTCAGGACAGTTGTTGGATACCGATAAGCCACCTAGTCACTGCCCAAAGGCAAACATTTTCTAAAAATGACCATGATTACTGTATGGTGGTCAGCATCTGGTGTGATTCACAATGAATATCTGAAATCGGGTTAAACAATCGCACCAGAGTCCTATTTTGAGGATATCGACGAAATGTACCGAAAATTGTTTTTTTAGCAGCCGGTACTGGCCAGCAGAAGAGATCCAATCCTGTTCCACGACAACACCCGTCCGCATATTTCACAAATCACCGCCCAATAATTAAACGAAGTGAGCATCGAAGTTCTACCTCCACAATCCCTAGACTTTTCGCCAATCGACTACCACATTTTCAAGCACACGTGGTCCTGATTGGTGAAGGTCCTATCGGCGAGAAAGTTATTCTCGCTGATAGAACCTTTACTAATCAAAACACTCGACTTCATCGAATACCGAACACATAATTCTCATGCTGATAAAATTAATTGTTACGTTGGCAAAAGTACACAGATTCAAATGGTACTTATTTAGATTGAATCAAATAAGTATTTGATGAGATATTACGGTTTGAAGTAGTCATAAAAACGGATAACACTTTCGAAACAACCTAATACCTAATGTGATCTCATATATCGCACCGCTGCATGTCGAGGCGAGTGCCAGATACAATAAATAGAGGGTGAATGGGGGAAGAAAGAATGAGGACAGAGTGAAGGGAAAGGACAGAATACTTCTCTGGCTGCAAGGAATGTTGCTGGAGGAGAGGGAAGACGAAAGGGTAACTGAGGTGTACGTGGATGCTGGGGCGAGACTGGAAGATGAAAGAATGGGCATAGGCTGGGCGAACAAACGGGAAGAAAATGATTGGGTATAGTCGAAGTAACCGATATAGTAATCTTAGGTGTCGACGAAGTCAAAGGCCAAAAAACCAATACAAAGGAAGTATGCCGCAACGAATTAGTCCACATTGACTGAAGAATTGGCGGTTCGTATTGGTACGTAAAATAGTCAAAAACAAATCTTATGAACGCAAGACGCGATTTGATGCGGGATTACCAAAACCTTTAGAGGTTCATCTAATAAAATCATTAAAAAAACAATATACGACTGTTACAAAAGCAATGAGATTCCTACAATTGAAATCATAAGGAAGAAATTGAATACTTCCGGACAAAACCTTTAGATGTTCATCTAATAAAATCATTGAAAAAAACAATACTGTTACAAAAGCAATGAGATTCCTACAACTGAAATCATAAGAAACGAATTGAATACTTCCGGCCATAACGTGAGCTGCTGTGACAAAACTCTTCAGAATTGAATAAAGAAACTAGGATTTAGATTTAAAATAATGAACAAACGTCAAGCAGTTATGGAAAGCAGAAGAATAGTGGAATTGCGTAACAAATACTTAAAACAAATAACCAAATATAGACAAGAACAGCAGCAAATTTTCTATTTGGACGAAACTTGGTTTTGTTAACATATGTGAATAGTTATAGAGTTAATTGTTAGAATTTATTTTTATTTACATTGACGGCATAATGTATTAGAGTCAGGTTGAAGGCTATTTATTGTAATTTTGGGAGATAAAATAAATAAAAGGGTCTTCTGCCCCCATTGGTTCGCACTCTCGTGTGGTCGACGTTACGCGTCGGCTGCACGTTGAGGGGGGGTGAGTTCGGAGGAGTAGGGGTTGCCTTGACAGTGGTGGCGGTAGATAGAGGGATGGCACTTTTCATCTCCAAAAGGAAACCGGCTAGCATGGGCTATTAGGTAAAATTAGTTGCCTTTTTTAGAGATTATCAGAATAATGTTACAGAATTTGAAAAATTCTCGTTTGTTGATTCCATTTTTTGTGATGTGATTCAAACAGATATTTCCACTTTCCGAACAGTAGAAGATGGCGTTTACAGGTTTTCAAAGCGACGTTTCGTCTTCAACAAACCTTGATCAATTCTGATTTTTTATTTGGACTGGAAAAAAATCACCTGTGATAGGAGTTAGCTATAGCACACATTTCCCTTTTATATTTCGAAATTTCAATTTTTTTTTTCACTCTCACCACTCTCTTTATAACCAGATGTAAAGACACTAGATTCAATAACTTCTCAAAATATTCAGATTGAAACAGCAAAATAACTGAATGCCAGTTCAAAGTTCACTCAGTAGAAAATAGAAACGTAATTACGATTTTCACTTCTCCAGCTGAATCGATACGAAATAATCAAGTGGACATATATCGGGTAACCGATTTGGTAATTTCAAAGATTTCTTTCATCAATCGTTTGATAAATGTTTTGTTTGGAATGAAGTCAAAAAATGATTTTTCACAGGAATAGTTTCGAACATACAAATTTCTATTCACAAGTAACGAACCGTTATTTGTGAATGACCATTTATTGAAGATGATCTCAAGTGTTTTCTTTAATGCAAAGATGGAAAATTTGTTTGAAATGACATTCAATAGCAGTTACTACATATTTGAATGAACATGTTGTTTATCGATATTTCATCGATTAACATCATATTTTGGTAGTATCGGAAAAAAGTTTTCAATATTGCAATATTTAGTTGCTTATAAAAATTGTAATATTATTTGCTACAATCTCATTTGATGTCAACATAATTTGTTCTGAAGTTACAGTTTTCCATTATTATAACAAATAAGAAAATAAGGAACATAAATACCCACCAAGTTAATAGATACAACTTTTTCATAGTTGGGGCCTTCTTCGATTCCAGCATTGTTGACCACAATATCAAGGTTTTTGAATCTCTCTATCATTTTATTGAATGCATCTGAAATGATTTAGTTTATGTGAATTTGAGAGTAGTTAGGTCCTTTAACATTTGATTTTTATTACAGGTATCAGTCATAACACTCAGTACATAATCCGTAATGACATCGCAGAGCACAGTTGATGAATGAAATGACTTTCAGAGTGATCTCCAAGAATACCAGACTTGAGTCAGGTGGACTCATTTACTTACAGTAGTGTTTCTTAAACTTTTGGAATTCATGGCTCCCTTATGTTTTTTAAGGTTGTCGCGGCGCCTTGAACGTAAAGACTACACTAGATATTTAATTAATGAAAGTAGGTAGGTGGCTGTCTGAACGGATTGCATTTTGCAATTACCGATAGTTTCATATTATCAGAGGATTTTTATTAATAGGTACGGACATATTACTTTTACTCTCAGTTATCTATGTTGTAAAACGTTGTACCCTGAGACTCACCCGTGGCTCACGGCGCACACTTTGAGAAACACTGACTTACAGTCACGTTCAAACACAAAATTACTGAAACATCAATCACTAGTTCACATCATTTGTGTTTATATTAAAGCTTGTAGTATTAGGTAACTCTTTGCAACTGAAATATTGTTACAAATACATTGTTTCATCATCAATATTTGTAATTCAGTATACTCACTTCTAACATCCTCCTCTTTTGAGACATCCCCCTCGATGAAAATAACTTTATCACCATATTCTTTTTCTAAACTCGAGACAACTTTCTTGCCAGTTTCTTCGCAAATATCTACCACTCCTACTCCCTAGAATAACAGGTTATCAAGTTCATAGATCATTCATCATTTATAAAATATTGAAAATTATAATAGTATCGTTTGAAGTAATATGTTCTGGGTGCCACAAATTGTTTAAAAGCAGTGTTCACTTTCTGATGCGCGAATTCTGCATTACATTTAACACAACTTTTTTTAACAAAATGGATTTACCTTCATTCTAAATGAAAAAAATTACTCGTTAGCACATAGACTGAGTTAAACCATTGTTTCAGGATTTCCTTAGACCTATGTCGAAATGAGTGAAGTTTTTGTAGAACACCCTTCGTCTTGACGTATCAAAGAAATATGGATAGTCTGCAGGATTTTCTACAGGGAGGAAGACAGGTTTGAACGAGACAAAATCAACAAGTAACACCCAGTTCCAAGATGTGACTGTGATGTTTTCTAACTTTATATCCCCATGACAACCTGTGGGTTGGGCTTCCTATCGAATGCGTCCCCAGGTGGCGGATAGATGAACGGACAGAGGACTGAGACCCTGTCCGGGAAGCCAATGTGGCCTTACGGACGGGGTCGCCGGACTCATGGTCAGTGGCAGAAATGAGTAGGGTGAGGGGAACTAAAACTCCCCAAAAGCTTTTACAAAACATGCCACCGTGGACCAGCGTACACATGCCAAGGTGTGAGGAATCGTGCCGACAGCTGAATGGCTGCAGGGTGATATGGCGGTTACGAATGATCCCCTTGAGGAACTGAACGAAACCTCATTGCAATCAGCCTACCTCTGGTAATGCCTGGCTCTGCCAGAGGCGACCAACTCTTTCCTTGCTACTCGTGGGAACACACATGAATGAAACAAAAACCAATCCCGAGGCTGGACAGAAGTGCTCACCTCAATCTAAGGCGGTGGCTGGGGATGAACAGAAATGTCGACTCCAATCTACCGCTTGAAATGAGGCTGGACATAGCAGATCACCTCGTGATGTAATACAAAGGCCAAGGCGTAAGCTCATTTGCGGCGCCGAGGCCAGAAGGAGAAAGAGAGCAGAGGAGGCAAGACTGGCAGCCACTATAAGTGCACCACCCTCCTCCCGCACTCCACCTCCAACAGCAAGGGCACTTCCTGTGGCAGGGGCCAAGAGTTCCGCTTTGAATAAAGGCAAGGAACTGGCTGCCCCTGCAGGAAAGCTCCCTCACTTGTGCATCTCCACGGAGGGAACCCCAATAAGGTTGAAGATGCCGCGCAACGACATTAATGTCACTGCAACTTCCAAAACCTTCGCGGAGGCCACCGTGAGACACCTCAAGGTTGCCAAAGAGAGTGTGTGTTAGGCGAGTCTTGGTCTACACCTGCCAATATAAAGGAGATGTCTCCTAGTGACCTGTCCACCTTCCTGGAAACGACAGGATGGAAGATGACCTAGGAGGACAACTCCCCGGGAGGATGTACAATGAGTCACATGTAGCCTAAGTGCTGTGGTTCTATACTCATCCTCTAGAGATACTCTACAGATACAGAGATCATCATCACAAACCCAAACTTTATGGCATTGTGTCAAAGCCAACAAAATTTGAAATGTAATCCACCGTTTTTCAATGTTAGTTAAAAACGGACTGATACTCAATCTATCGTAGAGAGTGTATTTTACATACTCTCTGATAAGGAATACAGTTGGTAGTAGAACTTAATTTTTTCCTAATTTCCTCTAGATGATCTTCATATTTTGAGAGGGGTAGAGTAGGATCATGTATTGCAAATACCTTGAATACTATCCAACCTTCTTGTGGTTCGACTCTTGCCACATTAAGAAACTTTGTGGTCCCCAAACTTGCATCGAACTTTACATAGGGAAGATCCATAAGGTATCTATCAAAAGGAAAAATCTGGGATGGGGCAATGCCCACAAGCTGATTTTCCATTTGTGCTTGGGGAAATTCTTGTTTTATGAGAGAAAAAAATATATAAATCTCTTGTTACTTTTCAATAATTTTCATTATTCAGAAATATCCCTTCCATACTAAGTAATCTCCACGTATTCATTCCACATTCTGCTCATTTGCCATTTTGTTTGTAAACCATTCATCATTTCGCTAAAAACAGTCATAAAACCTTTTGATGATAATATGGGTGAAAAAGAACTATTGTATATAGTATGTTCAAATAGAGCTTGTTTCACGGTATACATAGTTGAAAATGATCGGGATGGGTTTAACTGCCCTTTCTCGAACACGGGGGAGTTATAATCAACTTCGATACTAGTGGACTGGATTCCTTGTAGGTTGCTGGTTTTTTTGAATAAATTGACGCTGAATAAGTTCGTTAACTAAATATTTACAATCCTTAGCAGCTACCATCTTACAAAATCGTAGGACATACAAGTAACATTGGGCGTTGGCAAATTGCTTCTCATAAGATAGTCTGTGTTTGAATTACTTACAAAACGTTTCCTTCTTCAAGACACACTATGCACAATGCACCACTAATGTATGCAAATTCCCCTTTTTACTTATTAAACTTGGAAAAATACAAACGCCGAAATTATTCGAGCGTCGTGGATAAATTGAAAAATGAAAAGACTAAATCTTAGTAGGAGAAAGAAAAGCCACTTAGGTTTCACTACCTCGGAGGACAATTTCGGAATGCGTTGTACCTCTCTTGGCTCTTTCTGGAAATTTTTAATCGCCACATGTCGACCGATAAGGGAAAGGGGCGATGTTTCTGGAATTCTGGGAATTCGTTGAAGGAACCTAAAGGTTTACAGATGTAGGAGTTGGAAAACAATAAATGAATTGACAGAGCGCGTTCAGGGATGGCTCAAGCATAACTTAAGTTGGAACTAAATAATTAATAAAAGATCAGAAGAAGCTTGTTGGAAACTGTGTTTCCAACAGAAAACATATCACATAAACGAAATATTACAATTCTGCGTCTGCCCCTTTATCAAAGCGAACTTAATCCCATTGAATTACATTGGACTCAATTAAAGGATTTCGTTGCAAGGAGAAACAATGAAATATGTCATTTTGATTGTGTTGCTTCTTCTTGCAACGAAATCCTCCACTTGAGCCCAATTGAATTCACTGAGGAGTCGTTAGGGAATGTCTATTGAACATGTTGAACATGTTATAAAAAAGAAGACAACGGGTGGAAATTAGTCATTCACAATTGTAGAAAAATCAATCATCACATTCAACAAAGATTCATCGGATTTGTCTGATGATGAAACAAAATAATTTTTGCTCATACCTAATATCTTTCCAAATGAGCATACCTATTCACTATCATGTAGATATTTCAAATCGGAATACTACAACAAAAGACGTTAATTGTGTGAAAATAAATAAACATTGTTATTAGTTTCAGTAAGTTTTTCTGATTAAATACCCAAACGCACGACACTGTAGGTAGGAAACAACCTGAACGCTCAGCTGTTTGCGCTACATGAATATGGTTGTGACATATCACTAGAGAGATATGTCACAACACAATTTGGTAGAGTTATGGTAAGATAAATATTTTGACAATTACCTTAGCCCCTTGCTGCAGAAATTTTTTGACGATAGCTAAACCAATTCCACTGGCACCACCAGTAACAATTGCCACTTTTCCTTGTTCAAAACTCATGATAAAAATGAAAGAAGAGAATTGAATGTGGATTGTCTCTTTTCTGGGAAATTATCTTTCGGAAGATACATTGTTATCAAATAATGTGATTAGGTTATCAATATACATTCAGCAGTGCATAACACATATTTATTTTCCAGTGGCGTGCTTGAATCAGAAACAACTCCATTTTTTGATGATCGAAACGAAAATGTCGTTATTCCAGTATATGCTTATTTCACAATATCATTATTGGCTCCATTAGGATTTCTGCTAAATTATGGCGAACTGAAATTTGAACAGAAGAATTTGCGTTACAGTAAACACAGACCAGTTGAAGGGTTCTGGAAAGTAATGAAAATTTGACCAGCAAATGTTATTCAGATTCTTTTCCAGAAACTGTTATCTGTAAGTTATCCAGTATAGGCTGGGTAAATCCAGATAGTAGTGATTTCCTTCAATTGATTCATCATCTCATCGAATGAAAAGTCTGCCAGTTTTTCAATTAATTCTAAAAATTGTAATTGACGAAGGTTTTACCGGTGAGAAAGTTATCGAGGTGCTTAAAAATATGATAGTCGATTGGCGAGAGCTATGGGGAGTATTCGTTTAATTTTAGGACAGTGATTTGTGAAACATGCGGGCGTTGTTGAGGACCAGGGTCGGTCCTCCTCTGTTGACCAGTGGTGGCTGCTGCTGACGCAATTCTCAGTACATTTTGTCGATTTCCTCTCAATAGGAATCCCTTTTGTGATTTAGCTCGATGCCAGAAAGTTATAAATCACACCAGCCGCTGACCACCATACACTATATAATTTATATCACCATGTATACTGAAAAAATGAAATGTTCTCAAATAAAGAGTCTTCGAGTTGAATGAAAGTCAAAGTTATATTCTCCCAAACAGTAACGATTTTCCATCGAAACATAACATTTAGCGACCGTGACAGGACACATCAACAATGGAAAATCTCAAGACAGAAAGGAAGCAGTTACGAAGACTATTCATCAAAACCATCAATGACCTAGATATAGCATTAATGAAGCCAATAAGCAGAGAACTGTACTAGCGACTCTACGACGGGCTAATCAGAGAAAAAATGTTTTCGAGCATTCCTACCGAAGGAGAGCTATCACAAGAGTTCGACCGAATTGATTTCTTCATAGACGAAATCATAAATTTCCGATCCATATGTGACTTTGTAATTAAAGAGGTGACAAAAAGGGTTCAGAAGGTTGTTTCCAAATATTCCACTGGAGACACCAGAAGAAAATTTCGACTTCTCTAACTTGAACTGACAAAGTTCGTTGGCAACTTAAAAAAACTGGATTGGTTTCTAGGGACAGTTCCGCAAAATCCACGAGGATGAAAAAAATATCTAAATGATACATTTCAATACCTACTGCAGGCAACAGAACCAGATTCTGTGGCCAGAGAGTTGATCAAAAGTTTTCCGCCTTCCGGTTAAAATTATGGAAAAGCTATTGACCAATTGAAAACACGTTTTGCCAGGGATGAATTTCCGATAGAGGTGTATGTCAGAGAATTGCTGGATCTTGTTCTCGAACAAGCAACCAATACGTCAAGTACGACTTTGTCCTCTTTGTATGACGAGTAGGAAACTCAACTGAGAACACTGGGAACACTGAATCTGCATTGCCAGCTGAACTATTGAGAGTTTGATGCTTTTAGATTTTTAGAAAAGAGAAGTTGAATCTGAAAAGAGAATGAATCTTGCACAAACAAGCTTTAGTATAGGAAGAGAAATAACACAGAATGCGAAAGCTTTGGACAAATTGAAAACGCAAAAGCTAGGTGAATCAGAAATATATACTGCATCAGCCCTTCATTCAGCGAGTAAGAATAAAAAGAACGAGGTAAGAGTATTCCGATTTGTTTATTTTGTGATAAGTCGCATGCAAGTCAGGAGTGTTTCAAAGCTCACTCTGTAAAAATTGACCATATCAAGAAATCGTCTTAGTTCATTAATATCTTCTGGCTTTTTGTATTCTGTAATTCTTTGAATTTTTTATCAGTTGGTTTTATTCCATCTTTTGTGACTAAGTATCCTAAAAATTCTATAGCGATAATTGAAAATCGAATTCCGTCAGAGTATCATTCCTCGAACTAAGCTGAAGCATACAACAAACAACAGGTTTGTCGTCGCCCCATCTGCCTGTGAACGAGGTAAACAACTACATATCCAAAATTTGCCCAATTCCTCGTATAAGGAAAGAAAACTTTCACATATAGTCAGTGGGCATACGAGGGCACTGACGAGTAGCCAAACAGCCCGAAACCGGCCTGCAAGTGGGTACCAATAATTGAAAATCTATTGCGGCAGTTGTATCGCTAACAGCATATGCAGGAATAACTTCTGTGAAGAATCCTGCACTGACACCTGTCGGATGTAACCCAACGCCCTCCGTGGTATTAGCCAGGGGAGTAGTTGTTTTCTGATAGGTGTCAGTACATTAACCTACTGTGTAGGAAGTTGAGACTGGCCTGAACGAATTGTTCTGAGATAATTTGATTTATAGCCAGTCTTCAAGTATGCTCACTGACTATATGTGTAAATATTTTATCTTGGACTCAGGATCGAAAATTATCAGACGATTTTCATTCGGGCCATTTTCGCTAGTCGTCATTAACGATTGGCCTACATTTTTCCGAAGATACTTTGACGAAAGTACAAGGTTGGATACATTTTCTAGTTGAATTTTTGAAGAGTCTGTGGAAATAACATAGTTCATCGTTAGAGTTTGGATCTTGGAATTTTGTTTTAGTTCTGGATTTTGATCTAAATCTTGATCTTGACCTAGACCATTCTCCTTCAAAAACTGGGCTGCGTCTTCTGGTACGAGATTCATCAAGTTTTTGAATAAGTTGCTCAATTTTATTTTCTAAGCGATTTTCTTTTTGACCAGCTTGAATAGAACAAACGTCCGTATTTGCAATTCCTTTCATCATTCCATCGGCCATAGTTATAAGTTCTTCCTCAGGATAAGTTGTTCCACTGTGTTTGGGAGTTTCTTCAGTCAAGTTAATAAGATGGAGTCATTTGTCCTGAGGCAAGATCCTTCATTTGCCAATAGAGCTGATTAGGTTTTCTGTCTCCAAGTTGACACTCCCTGATTAAATTCGTCATCTTTTCTTCGTCTGATATTTGATACATTTTGATGAGTTGACTTTTTAGTAGTTCATATGAATCTGAATAATTTTTGAGTTGTATTGAAAAAAGATTTGAATTTTCTTTAACAATACTGCAATCTAAAACTGTCAGTATCTTTCCAAATTTGATTTTATTGGAATGTATGGTAAAGTGACAGAATTTGCACGATTGAATTCAGTTTCTGGCTCTATGTTGTAGTCTAGACTAGTTTGACTGATAGAACAACGATCTTTTTCTATGGAAGTTGACGGCGTAGTAACTGCTTGATTAAGTATAGGTGTAGACTCTTTACTCATTTGTTGAATAAGTTTTTCTACGCCTTCCATTCTCCTATTATTATTTTCGAGATTTTCAATCAGCTCATTACAAAGAATCACTAGCTTGTCAACTTTTTCAATAACACTATCTTCTGCTTGATATTCCTTAGATTTCTTCCGATTACTGATTTTGCAAAGAAGTTCTGTGAAATCAAAGTCTTGGGAATTTATCATTCCAGGATACTCCTTAAGAATTTCAGCCTCCAGCATTATTTTCATGTCAGGAACAGTTCCACCAGGATTGACATTGAAATATTCAAGTAGGTCAACTAAGTGCTCTCGCGAAAGGTTTTGAAGTAACTTGACCATGGTTTTATCAAATGCGTAAGAACTATTCACTTCTTGGGGTCACCAATTGTAGNTGAAAAATTCGGGCTGCTGGGAATATTTTCACATAAAACGAAGGTATTCGGCATATGCTATGATACCTTCATGGTCTTGAAATTTTTCGCGGAAAAATACACCCCCTTCCATCCTATGCATCATTTTGAATAAAAAAATCATATATTTTGAAAAATTAGTGCTGCTGAGGATATTTTTCCGCGACAAAATCGAGAACTGTGAAGATATTATTGAAAACGTTGACCACTATCGTTTTATGTGAAAACTCACATGGCTGACTATGAAATTATTGTTCTAAAAGACAATTTTTCATGGCTAGCTATGAATTTTAACGACCAATGTTAGCTTGGCGCACTCCTTTCCGTTAACGGTAAATTCCCCCAATTCATAGCTGAAACCCATGGCTGCCCTCACACTGGTGTCAGATTTGAATTATTATAAATATTTTTTCATTTAAGCTTTGTTTATGAAGTTTTGCGCATCTCTTCTCGATGAAGAAAAGTTACTTCGTATGGAGGCTCTTCATTTTCAGCAACCCAAACTGAACCATTCTTTCCTTTCTTTATTATTTCCTGTATGGCATCAGCAATGTACTCAGGCCTGCAAAACATATTAATTCTCTTTGAACTTTACATGAAATAATGAAACTTAAGAGGGTCGATTTTTTTAAATATGGGCATGTCTCACTTTCACTTTGTTTTATTCAAATTTAAAGATAGGAAGCGTTATAGATAACTACTTAGCTGGAAATTGTTTTTTTCAATTTATTATACCAAAATCATCGGAGGTGATATAATTTAGGCTATATTAGTAAAATTGATTGACCGTCTCCTCATACATTCATTAATATTTATAAAAAGTTTCAGATAAGTGCACTTATTCCTTTTGATGATTTCAAATACTAACTGCATGAAATTGAGTACATCTCAAGAACTATTTTGCACAAATAATGAACACTTACTGATATTTTGCTATTATATTTATATTTATTGAAAAACGTAACTTTGGCGAAATGAACACCTTTTCGCAATTTTCCCAATCACAATCATGCATTATAATCCTTGGAACACATTTTTATAGAGCGACTGAATTAGCCAGTGTATATATAATCCCGATCTTAGTAAGTTCATAAACTCTTGGTCTGGTATCCGTTACATCTACTTCTCTACTCTACTTATGTTGTAAAGCAGAACGAAGTACCTTGAACTTTTTTCTCAATAATTATCTGATGAAACAGATAGGTCCAATACAATATCAATTCTAGAAAAGAGGAAAAATATTGGCATTTTATATCAGAACCTAATTAGAGATCCTAGCAGGTTTAATTGTTGTTTTTTTCTGTACGTAATATGTCGTTGTTCATGTTGAACTCGAGGTTATTCCCTGAAAGGTGGCATAG